GTTCTACACACAGTATATCGGGTTAGACACTTGTCCGTAAACCAGAGACATCGGCGAGGCCCTGCAGGACGCTGTATGAGAACCTTGGTGAGATTTTTCACCGAGATCTCAACTGAGCCTCATACTCCGCTCAGAAATCACCAAGTCACAACAGCAGCATGGCCGACAGAAGGCGGATCAACGGCCCCGCCGGAGCAACAATACCCCCAGTATTTGAAGATTCCATCGACAAGAAAGTAATCACATCGAAACCTACTAGATCTCGAGCTGCAAATGCGGTTCGACACACATGTGAGGCAGAAGACAAACCCGAAATGTGAACCAATACTGACATATATCCTAGTTCTCAAAACGGGACTCACGCCATCGGCATCTGGGTCCGCCTACTTGGAAGTTGAGGTTCCCGGAAAGACTGGAGTCTCCGGCCTTAAACTCAGCTGCACAGTCCACGGCCCGAGATCTCTCCCAAGGTCAAGCCCGTTTGCGCCTCACATCATTCTCACAACACATGTCAAATTCGCCCCGTTTGCTACGAAGCAGCGGCGTGGCTACCTTCGCGACCCGAGCGAGCGAGATCTCAGCTCTCATCTTGAGACTGCTCTTCGAGGGGCCATTATCGCCGACCGGTGGCCCAAAAGCGGTGTGGACATTATCGTTTCCATCATTGAGGGAGACCAGGATCGAGATACATCAAGAGAACATGGCGATGAGTCATGGGACATGATGAATACGCTCAGCTATTGCATTACTGTCGCATCGGCCGCCCTTGCGGACGCCGGAATCGACTGCGTCGACACAGTTGCAGGAGGTGTAGCTGCGCTTGTCCGAGACGACGCCGACAACGGGAAGGCGAAGATCGTCATCGACCCAGTCCCTTCAGAGCATGACAACATTGAGGCTGCTTGCTGCGTCGCCTACCTCCCCACAAGAGACGAGATCACCAACCTGTGGTTCAAGGGCGATATGCCAGACGACAACATGGCTACATATATGGAGCTCGTTCAACGAGGAATCCAAGCCTCGAAGCACGCCAACCGGGTACTCGTCCAGAGCATTAGCGAGACCGTAGGATGAAGAAGAGGCAGAGATTCTATCACAGTCACCTTGAAGACAGAACCGCGGGTTGGACACGATCTATTCTAGGACTGTTACCAAAAGCTTCGGACTCGGTTGTCTTGGCCACCAGTCATAGTGTCCAAGCACGAAGAACGAGTTTCGCCCGCGACGTTGGGACATAATTAACACCCCGAGTTGATGAAGGATCTGTCAGACAAAAAGGAACGAGCTATCTCGGGCAACCGAGGCCCTGAAGCAGAGTGTCAGATTTGGGCAAACGTCCCCAGGGTAGATTGCAAAGCATGTAAATAGAGTGCCATCCAAGGTCCAACTGCACTGCAAGCGCTGTTCCTGGAGGCACCGATGCAACTGACCCCCACCTGCAGCCAAGGTTGTACGAATTCGTATTCTCGGTGAATGTGTTTACGGGTCTCAGCAACGTCCCGTCTTGGGCCCAGTTTCTTGCGATTTTGCCGCCATCTTGCCATTTTGCAGACAAACGGCAGATGGGGAAACGGGAACCTCCCGAAAAAGTTGGTGCATGGTGGGGTGGATTGGCGCCCTGGTCGATCCTTGCTTACGCGTCGTCTCGGTTCCGCCCGCGTTTGAGATCTGCCAATCCCTCGTGAACGTGCCCGGATTTTTCGAAAACAACTGGCATCTCGATTCCAGTCCCAGAAACGGCGACTCATTCTGGCACCGGCAAGATCGCATCGCCGTTTCAAGGTGGGCGAAAGACACGAAGAAACCTGGAAATGAAGGCAGGCATCATTTTAATTGCCGTGGGCACTTGTCTTCGGCAAGCCAGATTCAATGCAATGGTTGGTCCAAGCATTTGGAGGGGCTAGATTGCGGTCTCGAAAAAAAGGGTTGCCGAAAGAACACGCTAGCGTTATCGCGCGTAACCCCCCTGACGTTATCGGCTCGCTATGTGTCGTCGTTCCCGCTGCTACTCTTCTGCAAACATCTAGAATAGAAACGGGTGATGTCCTCATCAGCTCTACTCAGCCCTTTCGGACTGGGCCTTTCCTCTTCGTTACCGCTCACGCTCTAAGCTGACCGTCCCTAAATCCACTCTCGTTGTCAAACATAGTTTTCTGCTTTGCGCATATGACCTTCTAATTAATCATTCTTCGTTTCTTATCGTCGCATTCTCGAGCATCCACGATCCGGACTTCATCCGCCGCATCCGTCATTTGTCGAGGAGGGGCGCCGTGCATTCGTTTTTCGCGCTGACAGCTGGCTCCATTTCGTCGTCTCGCGACACCAATATCTTCGACATAGCTGGAACAATTGACCCGGGCCAACTGCAATTGCGATTGCATGACTGAGCATTCGTCATAATGGGGAAAAAGTGTAAGTGGAGGGGAAAAAGATGCAATCCTCGGCGACGCTGACGGTCGGTAGCGCGATGGGGCGTCATTTTGGACGCCGGCTCGTCAGGGACACGACTGCACATATACCAATGGAAAGACCCCGAGAAGGCCAAGAAGAAGGCTTCGGCCGAGGAGCTTCGCAGCCTGCCGAAGTTGGTGACGGAGAAGAAATGGACGAGGAAAATCCGACCTGGAGTATCGACCTTTGGCGAGAAGCCCAAGGATGTTGGTCCGGAGCACTTGAAAGACCTCATCAAACATGCGCTCAAGATTATCCCCGAGGATAAGATCCAGAACACGCCAATCTTCTTGATGGCGACCGCGGGCATGCGCCTTCTTCCCAAGGTCCAGCAAACCGGCCTGACGAGGGAGATCTGTTCGTATCTCCAACAAAATACTCAATTTTCGTTGCCCGACTGTGGGTTGCACATCCAGGTTATCCCGGGGGAGACAGAGGGCTTATACGGGTGGATTGCGGCAAATTATCTCCTCGGTGGATTTGACCAGCCTGAAAAACACAAGCACGGAAAGGGGCACCATACATACGGGTTTCTTGACATGGGCGGTGCGTCTGCCCAAATAGCTTTTGCGCCGAACGAGACAGAAGCCGAAAAGCACGCCAATGACCTCAAACTCTTGCGACTGCGGACTCTTGACGGGGAACCCGCCGAGTACAGGTTGTTCACTGCATCATGGCTGGGATTTGGTGTAAATCGGGCACGAGAGGCATATGTCGAGGCGATCCAGGAGCTGTACACAGAGACACACTCCAAGGAGCTTCCGGATCCATGTTTGCCAAAGTCGCTGAGGACCACGCTGGACGGCACCGTGATCACGGAGAAGAAGGCCAACGAGATGACGCTAGTTGGAACAGGTGCTTTCCAAGAATGCCTGGAACTTACACAACCGCTTCTTGGGAAAGACAAGCCATGCCCAGACTCCCCATGTTTGATCAACGGTCAACACGTTCCCGCCATCGATTTCGATGTCAACCATTTCGTCGGCGTCTCAGAATACTGGCACACCACTCACGGCGTATTTGGAGGCAAGGATGACGAAGCTTACGATTTTACGACCTATCTGAAGAGGGTAAAAGACTACTGCGGCCGCGACTGGTCCGCGATCGCGTCCAGCCTCGACAGCCGGGATAAGAACGATCTACGACACGCACAGGAGGCTTGCTTCAAGGCATCATGGATCATCAACGTGCTGCACGAGGGCGTTGGCATACCGCGGATCGGAATCGACAAGATGCCAGGGTTTAACGTCTCACACGGCGCTCTCGAACACGCCAAAGACAAGGGCTTTCTCGACCCCTTTCAAGCAGTTGACAAGATCGACAAGGTCGAGGTTAGCTGGACCCTTGGAAAGATGGTTTTGTACGCAGCCGGTCAAATCCCTCCTAAGAGTGGCGACGATACCTACCCTGTTGGTTTCGGCAGCAACGGACCCGCCACCATCCCTCACGACTTCCAGTTCGCCGGCTCTACGTGGCGAGCACCCGGCGCGACTGGCAACCAGACGATAGACGAATGGGAAGACATGATGGGCAAGGCCAGGGGAACCCCGAGCACGGGCTTCTTTGCATTTATTGTAGTCCTCATCTTCCTCGGCTACTTCTTCCGCAAGAAGGACCGTCGCATGCGCTTCTATGGAAAGGTCAACTCTTTTATGCGGAGGTCGCGTCGTCCGGGTAGCCCGAGAAAGAGCCCGAGGGGCTTCTCGGCCCTGACGAACAAGCTGCTCGGACGCTCCGCCCCATACGAGCGTGTGATGGAGGAGGGCGAGGCGAACCAGTTCGAACTTGGCGATGTCGACGACGACGATTACTCGGACTCGAGCGACGGCTCTCGGTATGGCGTGGGAGCAAGCGGAAGCGGTGCGAGGGCTTCCGGCCTAGCAACGCCCAAGGTGAATGCCTTTGACCCACTATCGGTGCCTTTTGGGTTCTCGGCACTCGATCGTAGCGGACTCGTTGTTCGCACGGAAAGCCGCGAAAGGCTAGTGCCGCACCTTCAGGCGACGGGGCGAAGAAGCAGAGCGGGCAGTCCGACGAGGCTCAAGAGTCCGTTGGTCCCAGCGCAGGTATGAGTGGCAGGTGTTGATCATAGCACTCTTCTTGGATTAGCCGTGTAGATTATCCATCTGTTACATGGGTTGCCGGTGTATTTATGTTGTCGATAGGGATGGGCAAAGATCTGCTTTAGCACAGGGCATGGAGTTTGGGAGGCAGATCAGAGGCGGCGCTTTTGCTCGAGGGCGTGGCAAGGCTTTTTGTAGTTGAAGCAATAGACTTGTTGTGCTACGGTTGCGTAGAGTGGTCGATATGAACTTGGGCGTTTCCAAGAAAAGCCCAGCTGGTGCTATCAACAGCAAGCCAGCGTGTTACCCGCTGAGTCAGCGGCTTGCACCCTAAAACGCAGGAAACGCCCGCAAAAAAGAAGACAAAAAGTCCAGGCCCTTCTGGAACCCCAAAAGCGTCCCAACTTGCCCCCAAACCTTCTCCAACCGGTTCACCCAGTCATCTGACGCTTCAAAAAGAAGTGATGTGCAGATGTGCAAAAGGAATGACGCTGATGGGGTTCGAACCCATGCCTCTCTCGAGAATGCAGAATTTAAGCAAAGAGTGAAGCACTCTGGAGTCTTAAATGCATCGCGTTAGACCACTCCGCCACAGCGCCTGTTTTATTGGTTGATTTGGAAGTGAAGATATTCTGACTCATGGAGGTATCGTCGGAATTGATGGGGTTGGTGGAGGGGAGGTAACATAGGAGATTTCCTCCACACCGTATTGTTTGTCCACTACGGTATGCGCGCTTGTTGGGTTAAGGTTTCTCAGTGCTGATAGCAGGTGCGTGAGGGATGCGCGATTGGTTTTCAATTAGAAGTGTTGCTGTGTTGCGCTTTGGGAGGTTGAAGTTCGGGAGGTTTCGGTCTCCTGACTGAGATCCGGGCCATCCCTCAGAGATGGCTACCTGGATGACCTTGAAAGATGCAAACCATGCTAGATACGGCCTCTGGGTTCGCAGGGAGCTTCTGATTTTTTTTTCTTCGAATTTCTGACAAGTCTTGACTACCGCCGACGAGGGGTCCGGATAAATCCACCTTTCCCAACTGGTGTTCGGTCAGCTCTGCCAGCAGAACACAGCTAAAAGTGATATTTCAGAGGAACTTTTGAACCTAAATACTTGTCTTGTGAAACCGGAACACTTGGAGTCAAAAGGGCGTGCTAAAGGTCAACCCCTGACCCATATAACTCGAGGCTAGCAGGCGACTACTGGATGGGCGACGGCCATTGCATCAAAACCCCAGGTCTTTAAATCTTCTCAGGAAGACGTGTTTGAACAATTGAAAGGCCTGTGAGGCCGGTTATAACCCTTGTACTCCCTAGGAAAGGCGGGTGTAGAGGTTGTTGAGGGTTCGTTGTTGGTTGAACGGCCCAGTGCCCGCCTTGGTATGCCGGACCCAACCCGACCACCCATAATCTGACCCGTCCGCACCGAGAAGGAATATCAGTTCTTTTTTCCCTCTGTTGTGGCGGGCCTGCTATGACTGTATCCCCGTCTCTCTGTAAAGCGAGTCCTTGGAACAGTTGGACACCCAGGAACGAAGACATCGACAAGATGGCTCAATATTGCCTCTTATAGCCCCAGATATGTAGGAAGGGCTGTCCCCCTGTCATCCCATAAGCAGCATTTTGTCGAGTTAAAACACGGTCCTGCCGGAGCAACACCCTCCGTGAGGCAAGGGATACAGTTTTTACTCGGTCAGCACCAGGGCCGCCCATACCCCGGGTTCAGGAGCCGTAAATATACCGTATTTATACGGCTCAAAAATTTCTGAAAAGCATACGTTTAACTCGTGTTTTCGGAACCAATATGAATCAGCTCGGACCCGTTTGAGCCATCTCGGAAGGGAGCTAAACCCGTATGGCTCCTGAACCCGGGGTATGGGCGGTACTGACGCTTGTGCGGATATGGCGATGAGCCTCTTTAAAAGCACTTCACAGAGCTGGCAGTTAACAGCACAATGTCAGGAGTTTGAATACTCTTCAATAGTGCTTCTCTGCGCCACAGTCCCATCAATCTTGGTGTCTGCACATGCCTCCCTTCCTCCTTTTTTCCTCCGAGCCCCTGAGGCGCATCACCCTCACGGCATATCTTAACATATTGCCTTAACGAAGCTTCATGGATATGTATGTTCCCATTCGCTCAGATTTGAGGACACGCTACATCCTGCAAGTCCCTGGAAGTAGCTCGTGTATGTCCCGCCTCATGTCATTACATGCTCAGGTTGAGATGCAGCATAGCAGTAGCCCTGGAAACTGCCGCCAGGGAACTTCTCAGTTTTCGCGGAGAGACGCTGCTGCATACCGCTTTTGTGAATCTGATCGAAGCCTTAGTCACTTTTTCTAATGCCTCTGACAGGAATAGAATCGTGGCTGCTTCTTCGGTACGTACATCTCGACGGGAAAGCCTCGTTGAGGAACGCAGCAGGAAAGTGTGTGTTTGGAGAACGAAAAGGGGGGTAGGAGGGGGAGCAGAAGGAAAAGGGGCGAAATCTAAAAAGAACCCCCCACAACCAGCCCAAGGGCTACATCGAGTACACCCCGTCTCCAACCTCGTTCACTGTGAAAAGTCGGACCCCCGCTCAAACGCTGGACAAAGCGGATGCCAGTGTTGATTCAAGTGCACCGGGCAACATCAGTACACTGAACCCAACGACACCGATCCACCCAAATGCAAACACAAATACACCAACATGAGCGGTCTTGAGAGAGCCAAAGCTTCGGTCTGACATTGCTCATCATATGGACAGTGATCGAGCCGCGCCCCTGAACCCCTGAAATGCCGCCAAGCCAAAACTATCCACAAAAATCCACAAAAAAAAACATACAACACCAGGGATTCGCTGGTCGTCACCGACCCAACTACTAGTCTGGCCCTCACTGGCTTATCTATGGGAGAGCGGACGGGATCCCGAGCTTTCCAGTGGGTATGGTCGTATGTAGTAGGTGGGTGTGTTATCGTGGTCTGTATATGCGAAGCAGCGGCCACTGTTGGAACGTCTCAGGTTTGGTTTGCGGCTGTGAAATCCATGATCTGAAGCCACGTGCAATGAAGTATGCCGAAATCTGGAGTTATATGATTTTTTGAAAAAGTCCTGAAAACTTTCCAAGTCGGCTGACCATCAATGAAGCTGCCAGGCGAAAGACCAAAGACTCCGTGAGCTGTCGCGGTTAACCCTAACCCCTCAGGCCCGCCAAGGCCAGGGAACCCGGGGGCTCGCTCCGCCTATCGATTGCGGTCTAGCGATAAGGCGAGCTGCGCGCCAGAAGGACATTTGTCTGGTTCAACGTTGCGGTTCACAGCTTTAAAGCGCTACGCTGTCTGTCACCCCTCTGCTGTTCGGCACATCCACGATCTTCTCGACACCACCCGGCAGCGACCCTCGTTACCGCGATTACGGCCGCTGCAGGATGAGCCGAGATGACCAGCTCGTAGTGGCAACCATGGACTCGGCGCTCTCCTCGGCGCCCGGCACGCCGCTCGTGCTCCCGCGACAAAACGCCCCGGACCTCTCCGTCTCGTCGCGCATGCAGTACCGGAGCCGCCCCGTATCTGTCGCCGTCGACCCCGTGTCCCTCGTCATATCCGAGTCCATAGCCATCACCTCGGCCATTCAAAAGTCCTCCCGCTCCTCCAACTCCTTCGTGTCGGCCATCCTCGGCGGGAGCCCCAACATAATCCAGCTCGTGCCTCCCGAGGGGCCCGCCGCGCGCCGCCAACCCAGGACGCCCACTACCGACGTTCAGCCCGATGGCGCCACCGATGCAGCCGACAATCGCTGGGGCTTGCGGGGGAAGAAGGGCAAGAGCATGCAGGACAACCCGCTGATCTCGGGCTTCGGCAGGCTACGACATAGGCTGGCGGGCGTAAAGGGTAGGCCTCGCATTGGCACATCACGTTCACGCCGGTTGACTGACATTGTGGGTAGATATTCGCCAGTTCGATTCGGTCGTGCTACTCGAGCCCTTCCTCCAGATTATACAGGCCAAGGGCACCGCTGCCCCCATCACCATCCTTGCGCTGCGTGCGATACAGAAGTTCCTCGCCTATGGCTTCATCGCCCCTGGGTCGCCCCGGTTTGCGCTGGCTATGCACTCACTGTCCGCCGCGATTACACATTGTCAATTCGACATTAGCGACTCGCCGCAGGAGGAGGTGGTCTTGCTCCTAATCCTACACCTAATGGAAGACATGTTGGCGGGGCCGGGCGGCGATATTCTCACCGACGACAGTGTATGCGACATGATGGGCAGGGGCTTGACGATTTGCTCTCGGTCACGATTCTCGGAGGTTCTGCGGCGTACGGCGGAGGCGACCATGGTGCGCATGTGTCAGATCATCTTTGAAGATCTGAAGCACCTCGAAGTGGAAGCTGGCGACGAAACAGAGGCGTTGGACAAGCAGACGAGTGCAGACATGGATAACGTCAAGATGGACCCAGCCGCCAACGGGACGGACATACCGGCTACCAAGGAACTGGAGCCCCCGGCTCCAGCAGAACCGAGAGCTTCCACAAGTTCGGGGAAAACGGCGGTTAGCGGCACAGACACTCCCGTGAATGGACAGGCGGAGGTGGGACGTACCAGTACCAGCACGGCCGACGAGAGCTCCGCATCGGAAGTGGACTTGCGACCGTACTCCCTGCCCTCCGTTCGTGAGCTTTTCCGGGTATTGGTAAGCTTTCTTGACCCGCACGATCGGAAACATCCCGACCACATGCGGGTTATGGCCCTCCGTATCATCCACGTGGCTCTTGAGGTTGCAGGGCCTTCAATCTCCAAGCACCCGGCGCTTGCGACGATTGCCGAAGACCAGCTCTGCTCGAACCTCTTCCAGCTTGTGCGTTCCGATAATATGGCCGTCTTGCAGGAAGCCTTGATAGTAGCGAGCACTCTCCTTTCCACCTGCAGGGGAGTTTTGAAGCTCCAACAGGAACTATATCTTTCCTATCTAGTAGCATGTCTTCACCCGTCTATAGAGATCCCCAGGGAACCCGGCATCGACCCGAGTCTTTACGCCGGCATACCACAAGCACCCAAGCTAGTAAAGCCGCCGCCTTCGCAGGCTAGCAGCGGTCGTTCCACGCCAGTACCAGTCAAGGATCGCCAGAAGCTAGGAATGGAGGGCGGTGCACGAAAACCTGACGCGAGGCAGGCCATGGTTGAGAATATTGGCGTTCTAGCACGGATGCCGACGTTCATGGTGGAGCTGTTTGTCAACTACGACTGCGACGAGGATCGCGCAGATCTTTGTGAGGACATGATCGGTCTGTTGGCGCGAAACGCCCTGCCGGACTCGGCCACATGGAGCACAACGAGCGTTCCGCCCTTGTGTCTCGATGCGCTGCTGAGATTTATTCAGTTCATCGCTGAGAGGCTAGAACAGCCGGCCGTGACGGAGGGATATCCTGACCCGGAGGTGCTCAAGGAACGGCGGCGAAGGAAAAAGCTCATCATCAAGGGAGCCAACAAGTTCAACGAGAGTCCTAAGGGGGGATTGGCGTATCTCCAAGAAAAGGGAATCATCGCCGACATCAAGGACCCGGAGTGCGTTGCAAAGTTCTTGAAGGGGACCTCGAGGGTGAACAAGAAAGCTCTCGGTGAGTTCTTGTC